ATTTTACATTACTGACTGAATTAATTGATGTTTTGTAAAGAATTGAGTTGAATAAAAAGTACACACAAAAATTAACAAATATTTGACATCCTCATGGCTGCAATGCTGACTTGAAACAAATGTTTTGAATACACAAAATAAATGTTGGATCTTTAATGCATTTGTTAAGTTCAATATTTTTAAGAACCTTTTACATGATAGACAAAATTTTGTTAAAACTAGTTTTAAAAGTCCAGTTCAATAAGTATTTACTGTGTTTGCATATGAAAAAGGATCTGAGTCATGTCAGAGATATAAAGATATATAAAATACCTCTCTGAGTTCATGTTGGTTATATAGCTTAGAGTGGTTATAATTTCAATAAAAATTATATGTAGTTTTCTATTGTATGTGCCTACAACATTGCCTCTTTTTAATAAGTGTTCACTCTTATTGTTGCTAAGGCCAGGGTCACAATAAAACTTCATAATGCAAAAATAATTATTTTATATTAATTGAAAAAAACTACTGATTTAATTGAATATTTCTAAATCTTGGGGGGAAACAATTTTAAGAATGTATGTAGGTCATATATTACAAATAGAACATCCACAATGTTAATACACGAAAGCCATTGTCCCCAAAATTGTATGTGCTGCCAAAGATACAACTGTAATGACAGAACCAAATACCATATCACTGATCTATTAAAACAGAATTATTGTGTTTATAGGATTGAATCATTTAAGGGAAGACAACAAATACTCTTCTTGCAAGTTTATTATTTAAACATGAAGAAACGCCATCGGTTCATTGAACCTTTAATTAATTATATTGTCCTCCTAAAGCACCTGGGGAAAAAATACAGGAAAACTAACTGGCAGATTTATCTCTCTTTTTGCCTTTCTAGCTCCCTCTCTCTCTCTCTCTCTCTCTCTCTCACACACACACACACACACACACACACACAGTTTCTCCAAGGTAAATTTGGGAGTCAGGAATCATTCAGATAAACCAAAATATCTTCATCATTTAAGATATTAATAACTTCATTAATGGGTACTATTTATTTCACATAATAGGGAGAGCATAAGGAAAGATGCTATTTGTAGAAAGGTAGCAAAACCCACTTAGGAGAGGTCCTTTGTTGGGTGCAATCAGGACTACAGTGTGGTCAGTTAGTTGAGAAAACACAATTAACCTGGGAAATTATGGGAAACCTACACATCTTAAACATGTGAAGGATGTCCACATATTATCATTTGCCTATCTATAATATAAGGCAAGTACTTTTCTCTAAGTATATTCACTACTTGCAGTTCCTTTTTTTTCATAGACACTTTCTATTTTCAGAACATTTCTTCACCTCACAAAGAAGCTCTGGGCACATTCGCAGTCACACCCCGTTCCCTACCCAACCACCCACCCACCAGCTCCTTGCAGTCACTAATCTACTTTTTTTCTCTGTGGATTTACCTATTCTGTATGTTAATATAAATGGAATTATTCAATATGTGACCCCCCAAATTTTTATTCCCATTCTACACATTCCTACTTGACAATCATCAGCTGGTTTGCTATATTTATGGGTCTGCATCTGTATTGTTTTATTCATATTTTGTTTTTCTAGTTTCCACTTAATAAGTTATATCATATGGTATTTATCCTTCCCTGTCTCTTTTTTTTTTTCACTTAGCATAATGACCTCAAGGTCCATCCATGTTGTCACAAGTAGCAAGATTTCATTCTTTTTTAGGGCTGAATAATATTCCACGTGTATATATCACACCTTCTTTATCTTTTTATTCTTTCATCTACTTCAATCATATAAGTAATACATCATTTAAAATGACCAGCTTGGGCTGCTTTAAGTCAAGCAAATTTGGGTTGTTTTAAGTGAATTTGCTTTTCACATTAGTTTGAACTTTTGAATCATTTTCTTCACAATCAGCAAAAATGTTTGCTCTAAACCTAATTTGATGGCAGTTTTTGTTTTTACCAACTGGCCTTTATCAAGTCATCTGAAGCTGTCAGCTTTATATTTACACTCATACTTAGTTATTGTACATAATATTTAACTTATATATAATAATAACCCCAATTGCAAAGTGAGGTTGAAATAAAACTAACTCAAAAAGTATATAAAGTTTGATTAGTGACAGTGAAAAGAGGCAGGTGTTCGAAAAACACCTGACCTTACTAGGTGTGGCCACCCAAATAGTGGGAGCAACATCTGGCAAGCCGGATCAGTGGAAGGTGGTTAAAGAAGTTTCTACTGTATGTCAATTTCTGTTGCCATCAGTATTTACACAGAAGAAATATTAGGTTGTCCTCATCTCCTTCAACAACTAGAGAAAAGCTTATTTTTGAAAGACCAGGTTGCTTCAATTCATGAACCACACATTCGCAAATTATTTTACTTTTACTTTCATATAATTTTCATCAGCATAAATACATTTTTGAAGGTTCTAACAACTTGTTACTGAAAAAGCAAATTTCTTCTAAATTCCTCTGGAGGCTTTAAGACAATATCACTGTCTCACATGTAATTAATTAAACTTTTTCTTGTCCTGAAGTTGTTAATAATCCTCACCTGAGGACATGCTTATTGATCCTAGAGAGAGGGGAAAGGAGGGAGAGAGGGGAGCAGAAACATCGATGTGAGAGAGAAACATCGATTCGTTGTCTCTCATATGCTCCTGACCACAGACCAGATCTGCAGCCCAGGCACGTGCCTTGACCAGCAGTTGGACTTGAGACCTTCAGCTTACAGGATGGCACTCCAACCAATCGAGCCATACCAACCGTGGCTACATGTTATCTTTTATCAATTATTACCTGAGTATTAGAGCACCTCTTAAAACTGTGATCTTTCAAGTCACTCTTTCTTCTCACACACCCTGACATTTTCTCCCTCAATTTTTAAATCCTGTTATTGTAGTGTTAATGCTCCAGAGCTTTTAGTATCTCTCAAGTTGTGTCACTGATGTTTATATAGCGTCGCAGTGACCAAGGCTTACGGTTTCTTTCCAATATCCTTGGAGAACAATATTTGGTTTATTTTTACTGAATGGTTTTCCAATGATGTTTTTAATATTTTCATAGCTACTACCCAACTCGTATCTGTTTTATTGGTCTCATAGTGCAGTTTCAGGTGGTTCTTTTGAACTCCTGCCTTTATACTTTGACCCTTAACCCTTATATTTATTCTTGGATTTGGTGACTTTCACTTTTAGATTCCTTCTTAAAGGAGCTTTGTTTAATTTTGAAGATGCTCCCAAAGCTGACAAAACAGTACCAGTTTCCTAAGATCTGGTGCTACCAACATTCCAGGAACTGTTCATTGATTTGTATTTGTACTGGATTTTGTGCTGTGATTATTTTTAAGCTGGTTACAGATTGCTGCCAGGGAAACCAAGCAATCAATAGTCTTTGTTTATTGTATCTGTATAACCATGTGTTTATTTATCTGTATAACCATATGCAAATTCTACAGGTGCCCAGAATTCTAAGGAAGTGGTAAAGGTCAAGCTATCACTAATGACTTGCTTAGCAATGGAAGTTCAGGATCCATGAACTATTAAATTGGTTTGTTAGTATTAAAGCCCACTTCAAACCAATGAATGACTTTTGGCTACTAAAATAGGCTGCCGTTTAAGTTCATTTTATATAAATGTTCTAACATTTTAGAATGATATTGCACCTCAAAACATTCGCTTTTAAGATGGAAGATAAACTTAACAATACTAATTATAACACTAATTAAAATTTAAGTATTCACTATTTGTGCTAAGATCAGTGGCATAGTAGAAGGGAGTAATTTCTATTAAATGCTTCTGTAAGTACATTTGGAAGGTCTACGTTCACTCAAAGATTATGTATACTAGCTTGAATGAACATCCTGGGATAAACTTGATAGCAAATGTTCTTGCTCAGGCAATTCTTCTTCCTCAACCTCTGGGGAAAAGGTATAACAACCGTTAGAAGTGAAAAGAGGCCAGAATATTGTTTTCATTATGAATGCCCAGCATCAGGGCATGTTTTTCAGCTATACAAAACAGTGATTTTCACCTGGTGCGCCCCAGAACACTAGTGGGCTGCAAATACTTTTTTAAAGATTTTTTTTAATTTATTGATCTTTAGAGCGGAAGGGAAAGAGAGAGGGAGAGAAATATCAATGTATGATTGCCTCTGGGGCGTCCCCTGCTGGGAACTGGCCAGCAACCCAGGCGTGTGCCCTGACTGGGAATCCAACGGGAATTCTTTGGTTCGCAGGTACAAATACTTTTAAAAACATTTAAAAAGCCCCTTTAGTCAGAGACTACTCAAGTACTGACCTCTTTTCCCCTCAACTGTCAAATACAAAAAAAAAATGACAACAGCCAACACAATGATAGCCGTTCGATGTCAATGAATCAAAATTAAACTTTTTGGGGGGGTCAGATCCGCAAAATATATATTTTGGTGTGCCACACAAAAAGGTTAAAAATCACTGACATAGAGGATGGTTGATACTGTCAAGTGGAGGTAATGCACGATATCTATGCATAACGATATAAATGCATAAGCATTTAGATTACAAGAGATGCCAACAGAATAAAGAAGCAAGTAAAATTCCTCAGGTCACCTCTCACCTCCTGTTCTGCCTGCAAGAGCGCAGAGGCGGTTAAAAAGGCAAGCGCTGAAGAAAAAAGCCTACAGCTCTCTTTCAATATGACTAATTTTCCTTCGTTCTTCAACTGTCAAGACTGTCAATGTGGCTTTATTTCAGCCATACATTAGCTTTCAAAGGTAGATTACATTTTCACAAGGCACTCATTATCCTTTCCTGCGTGGAGCATAGCTTCGCCACATCCAGAAGTGATTTGAAAACCGAAATAACGCGGAATCCCAACGAAGCGGCAGCCAGTCAAACGTCTCTAAGAGCACGTAGCCGCCTGCCCCGCTCCAAGGGAGAAGTCCCTCTTGCCCCGCCCCTTACTCTCACTCCGCCCCTTTGCGTAACCCGGATACACACCCACGCTACCCTTTCACCTCCCGGCAGTTGGGTAACGTGGACTGGACACCCGCTGGCTAGCAGTGGAGTCGGGGCTGTGCCGCCCAGGGGAGTTGGGCGCGCGGGACTGCGAAGGTGTGCTTCGCGGCGTGGCTCATCTTTCCGGGAAGGAGCTATGGGGCGCGCAGGCTCCGGGGAGCGGACGCCGGTGTAGTACGCGCGGTGCCTGGTCCGGGAGCGCGGCGGCCGCGTGCGCGGGGAGGCCTTTGAAGGCCGCGGTCCAGAGCGCCCAGCCTCTGGCGCCATGGCCCCCATGGGCATCCGCCTGTCCCCCCTGGGGGTGGCCGTGTTCTGTTTGCTGGGGCTCGGCGTCCTTTACCACCTCTATTCGGGCTTCCTGGCCGGTCGCTTCAGTCTCTTCGGCCTGGGCAGCGAGCCTGGAGGTGGTGCGGCGGGACCCGTGGCCGTGGCTGAGGGCGGCACCGTGGACCTGCGGGAGATGCTGGCTGTGTCCGTGCTAGCTGCCGTCCGTGGTGGCGACGAAGTGAGGCGAGTCCGCGAAAGCAACGTTCTGGAGGAGAAGTCCAAGGGGAAGACGCGCGAGGGAGCCGACGACAAGATGACCAGCGGGGACGTACTGTCTAACCGCAAGATGTACTACCTACTCAAGACGGCCTTCCCAAATGTGCAGGTGGGTGCCGCGAGCGCCGAGCCAGGGGGACAGCGGGCCGAGCGCTCAGGCCCGGGAACTCGGGAGCTTTGGAACGTGGCTCATCACGGAAACTCTTCCCAACCGCCCTAGATCTTGGGGTTCTGGCTCCCATTTTGCAGATGTGGATGGAGAGTGAGACGCTGAACTTTAGGTGTTCAAGGTCACACAGACAGTCAGTTGGAAGAGCTAGGTGGGATTGCAGGCAGTGTGACCCAGGGTCCATCTCCCCTGGTCTCTTCTGGCATATGCACCTGGGATCAGGAGCTTTGGGTGTGGGAGAGCTTTCACATCAAAATGCTAAGGTTAAGCTCTTCTGTAAAATGAAAGGGATTGCACTAGAACCCCCAAGGTCCTCTAGCTTTCATTGATTTAAGTACTGGAACGTTCGTGACTGTACAATACATGTTTTCTGGCCGATGTACCTACCAGGAGCCAACTGAAGGCCAGCAACTGTGGAAGTGTTGCTGCCTGGCCTCTGTGGGCTGGATGCTTATGAATTAACTGTAGTTGTCATTATCAGGATCCTCCTAATACCACACATTTTGGAGGCCCTTTAAAGCAGTGTTTGGAAGTATATTTCTCAGCAACTTCATTTCAACCATCTATCTGTTATTGCCCCATAAAATAAAAATTGAGAAGTACTTGCCCTTGGATACATTTCTGGTAAGGAATTGATATTTTCTTAGGGAAATTCAGACATTTTAACTACTTGGAAGAAAAATTGTTTCCAGTGGAATTTAATTAGTTAGATAAACAGTGAAATCTAACTCTGGGCTTCTCTGGAAGGTATTTGACCTTAATACAGTTGTTCTTGAGTGAGTTAGGAGAGTATTGTCATTGTAGAATTACATATCATGAGTAACCCTTCTTCTGGTCTGTCTTATTATTCCTGTGTGTTTTTTTCTTCCTCTATTTTTTTCTTCTTTTTTTGCAGTGGCAAGGAGTATTGAATTTCATATTAACTGCTGAATACAGATGTGATTGATAGAAGAATTCTCAAACAAAACACACATCTTTACTTTTTCTTTTAACCATACCCCACTTTATCACAGACTAATACGTGTTTGCTTCTCTCTTCTAAAATTCAGCATTCTTCCCTAGATATTTTGTAATAAACAAGAGTTTCAGAGGGGTTGATGTATAATAGTTGTAACAGTAGCAATAGTAACAATGTACTGAGTGTATGCTAGGTGCCCAAATACGGGCCACACAGGACTTTATTAGATCCTCACAGCAACTTTTAAGTAAATTTTATTTATGCCCACTCTACAGATGGGAAATCTGATGCTTATGACACTTTACAGTTTATATCAACTATCTACTTTTCATCCCAGCTCGATTTTTATAGGAGGCTAGTTAAAGATTTTTATTATTTATTTTTAGAGAGAGGGGCAAGGGGGAAGAGAGGGAGAAAAACATCAATGTCTGGTTGCCTTTCATATGCCCCCCACTGGGGACCTGGCCCACAACCCAGACATGTGCCCTGACTGGGAATCTAACCCGCAACCCTTTGATTCACAGCCTGCACTCAACCTACTGATCTACACAGCCAGGGCGCATAGATGAATATTTAACACAGAACTTATGGTTTCCTAGGGAAAAAGTGAAACCAAGAATAGTGAAATATAGCAAGCAGAGTTTAAGTTAAGGTAAAGGTAAAAATATTCTTATATTGAAAGTGTAAATCTGGATGTTGATGTGTGTTCACATGCAAACACCACCCCACTCTTCCTCTGCCAAAGCTTTTGTCTTGGGTAATTACCACAGGATCCTGAGTTTGTTTGCTTTCTCACTTAATAGCAAACAGTAAGGGAATAGCCACCAAGGGTAGTGAGCTGTGTTTTATGAAACATTAAAGCTAAGCTCTTGGCATTGTAGCTGTTTAAGTCTGTCTTTTATAACTTTTTGTTTTCCTGGGATTGTTTGAACATTTGCATGTATATCTTTAGTGTGCATGTTGGATGGTGATTGAAGAAATAGTGGCGGTTATGTTCATTTATACAATAGCAATAGCAATGTAGGATAGTGTCATGATGAACTATCCCCCTTTTGTCACTAGGTTGTTACACTAGAGGCCAAAAGTCATAGCTGTATAAGTAGAGACTCAGTCATAGATTCTTTTTTTTTTTAGGTTTTATTTATTTATTTTTAGAGAAGTTAGAAATGGAGAGAGAAAAACATCAGAGTGTGATTGCCTCTCGCCCCCCCCCACTGGGGACCTGGCCCGCAACCCAGGCCAGTGTCCTAACTGGAAATTGAGTCAGCGTCCCATTGGTTTGTAGGTCGGCCCTCAATCCACTGAGCCACACCAGCCAGGGCAATCATAGATTCTTTTCTTCACTCCCTTCCTCCACATCCAAAAGCACAGTCTAAAATGTTTGGTTGTTTTTGAAGCCTCACTTGAAATTTTTGGTAAAGAACATACATTGAATCCTACTCTATTTCCTTGTGGAAAATTATCATCAAGAAGCCACAGCTACTCTTTTCTTTTATAATGGTGTCCTGTGCAAATGGATAGAGGTCTCTTTTCTTTTCTCCCATAACTTCCTTGAGTAAGGTGCTTGAAGCTTTCCAATTTAATGTTCCCCTCTCAGAAAAAATGACATACCAGGTGTTACTCTAGAGCACTAAACAGAGGACGGTTTTGCCCCCAGAGGACATTTGGCAGTGTGGTGATTCTAACTCACAACTGGGAGTTAGAATGCTGTTGGCATCGAGTGGGTAAAGGGTAAACAACCCACAATGCATATAAAGAACCATATAACAAGAAATTACCTGCCCTAATTTTACAACTTGTGCCCTTATTGAGAAGCCGTACTCTAGAGAAGTGAATGTTGTCTTAAGAAAAATCAAATTTGGCCTAGGATCTTTGGATTTCCTTTTATTTTCAACCTCTCATGTTAGGAAGCTTGGGAGAGTCCTCAGTGCAACAGTTCTCTTTCTAAACATATTAGCTATGCTTGATTTTACTGTATGACCATAATAGTAACTATGGCATTGGTATGACCTGTATCTCATATCCTTGTGGATAATGATGAAAATGAAGGCTGAAGATAGTTTCTTAGAGTGGTGCAGGCAAACACAGAACAAACTTATAGTTTTGATTTAAAGAAAAGAGAATTCTGTGTTTGAGGGGCTCCTGTCCTCAACTTCATCAGAAAGAATTCTGACAGTGATTTAAAGATAAAGCATAGTATTCCAGGCTGATAGGAGCAGCTTGTATCTGTGCCTTCCTTGACCTTTAGGATGGGAGTACTCACTAGAAGAGCTTAACTTCTTTTTTTTAATTTAATTATTGTTCAAGTACAGTTTTCTGTCTTTTACTCCCATCCCAGCCCCCCCCCCCCCAGTGCTCCCCACCTCCATCCCATTTCCACCCCCCCTTGTTGTTGTCCATGTGTCCTTTATACTTGTTCCTGTAAATTCTTCCCCTTTTCCCCTGAAATTCCCTCCCCTCTTCCCTCTGGTCCCTGTCAGCCTGTTCTCTATTTCAGTGTCTTTGGTTATATTTTGCTTGTTTGTTTTGTTGTTTAGGTTCCTGTTAAAGGTGAGATCATATGGTATTTGTCTTTCACCACCTGACTTAGTTCACTCAGCATAATGCTTTCCAGTTCCATCCATGCCGTTGCAAAGGGTAGTAGCTCCTTTCTTTCTGCTGCATAGAATTCCATTGTGTAAATGTACCATAGTTTTTGGATCCATTCATTTATTGATGGGCACTTAGGTTGCTTCCAACTCTTGGCTATTGTAAATTGTGCTGATATGAACATTGGGGGGCATAGGTTCTTTTGGATTGGTGTTTCAGGATTATTAGGATATAATCCTAGCAGTGGAATTGCTGAGTCAAAAGGCAGATACTTGCTTTGATATCTTGTCCAGTCTCTAGCCTAGGTGATTCTGAGTAGTCATTTATCTTCTTTGAGTTACAGTTTTCTCTTCTTTAAAGTTGAGATGACTAGTATATGATAATCAGCGCATTAATAAGCATTGCAGGCAGAGGAAGAACATCCCAAATTATATGGGCAGATCTATTTGAGGTGGTACTGTAGTATGAATCTACTACAATAGTAGTAAAGTTGCTGCGGTAGTAGCCTGATGAGTCTGAATCAGAAGCACATGAAGAACTTAGGAAGGTAGACCAGAGCTATAGCATATGCCAAGCTTAAAGAAGTTTGGGCCTGATCTTTAGTTTAATCCTAGAGTACTAAAAGATTTACCTGACTATTATTTCAATAATAAAAGTCAGGTAAAGTGTGCCATACTTTGTTTTGGCTTTGGGCATTTGAAGGTGTGTGAGACTGGTTAGGATAATTTTAAAATAGGCTGGATGAGACATGAGCACCAGAACTTGGGCAATAGAAAAGTTATACTCAGCTCGTTTCAATAGCTAACACTTACTTAGTCTTCAATAAGTGGCAAGCACTTAATTAAGTTTCTTATTGCCACTGTTAATTTATTCTTGAAAAGACAGGAGGTGAGCACCGTTGCCTCCATTTTGCAGATAAATTGAAGCTTGTAGAGGCTAAATAATTTATGGAAGGATATACAGCTAGAGAATAATCTTAGATTCATAGAGATTTACTTAATACCCTGAGAATCATCTCAGGTCTGTCTAATTTTATATATAAGGTATTATAAAAGGTATAACTGAAGTATACTCTTAACAGTTTTTCAAAGGATTGGAAGGACTCAGGATAGATGCTTTACAATAGTTTAGAGGGGGGTAGATCAGTTAAGAGGCTTTTTCAAGTGAGAGATGATACATTGAATTGGAGTTATCATTGTAGAGAAGTTAGATGTGGAAGGATATGAGAAAATGTCCAGGGAAGAGTCAAAAATGACTCCTCCATTTCTGACTTTCACAACTGGTGTTTTGCTGTTGTTGAAAGAGAATGAGGGATGACATGACAAGTACCAGGGGGCAGATTAAGAGTGCTGGGTCAATTTAGAGATGCCTTTGGTATGATCAAGGGGACATG